GTGTGTGTGTGTGTGTGTGTGTGTGGCCAGCTCAGCCCACCAGGGGGCGGGGCTGGCTGGCATGTGGTGCTGGGGGATTGAACTGCGGTCCCTGAGCTTTGCCAAGCTTGTTCCAAGTAGGTGCTTTAGACCACTGAGCCATCTCACCAGCCCCATGGCTTTTGAGTCTTAACAGTTCCTTATGTACTAGATACAAGTACCTTATCAGATACATGGCTAGTAAGTATTTTCTTTTTCTTTTTTTGTTCTTTTGGTACCAGGAATTTAACACATTACCTTATGCTTGCCAGATAATGCGCTGTGGTGCTGAGCTATATCCCGGGCCCCCTTTCTGCCATTCTGTAGGTTGCTTGTCACTTTTTTCTTTCAGTACTTGAAATTGAATGTAGGACCTTGTATATGTTAAACATACACTATATTGAGCCATACTCCCTGCTGTCCCTTTTCAAGTTGTTTGTTTTGTTTTCAGTGGGGGTGGGGAAGGTTTGAACCTAGGGACTTGTACCTGTTAGGCAAGTACTGTACTGTTGACCTTCATTACCAACCCTTGCCTTTTTTCATTTTGCTTTTTTTTTCTCTTGCAGAACTGGGGATTGAACTCAGGCCCTTGCGCTTACCAGGGAAGCGCTTATTCTACTGAGCCATCTCCCCGGCCCCTGCTTTTGTTTTTGAACCCAAGCACTCTACCCCTAGTCTCCATCTGCAGCTTTATATTATTTTATGAGGCAGGGTTTCTCAATGAGGTGCTGAGGGTGGCCTCAAACTCCATCTTGAGTAAGGAGTTAGGTTCTTGAGTAACTGGGATTGTAGACATGCATCAAGATGGCCAGCTACAAAAGGTTTTAATTTTGAGGAGGTCTAGTTTACAGGATTAGTCTTCTGTTTTCTTCATGTTTCATATATTTTTAGCTTTTACCTTACTTTTTATGTTTCACTTAAAATTTTCCATATGAAGTTTTAAGATAAACTCTGTCTCTAGGTCACTTTGCTTTTGTGAGTGTGATATATATTCAGGCTTAATTTATGGAAAGATTATTCTTTTTTTTTTTTTGGTGGAACCGGGGATTGAACTCAGGCCCTTGCGCTTGCCAGGGAAGCGCTTATTCCACTGAGCCATCTCCCCGGCCCCAGAAAGATTATTCTTAATGAAATTGAGATTGGCACCCTCATTGAAAAATCACAGTGGCTGTGGTGATGGCACATGCCTATAATCCGACCACTCTGGCTGAGGCAAGAATGTGAGTTTGAGGCCAGCCTGAACTGTATAAAGAGACCCTGTCTCAAAAGGACCCCCAAAAATCACATGACCACAAATGTTGTAAGAGATTAATTTCTAGACCCACAGGTCTCTTCTTAGTGGTTTCTCTGGCTGTCCTATGCCAGAAGCAGTCTTTATTTTTCTTGATTAGTATATATTTGCAAACAGATAAGTCTTAATTATAGTAGCTTTGAAGTTTCATGTCAAAAGGGGTGAGTCATCAATTTTTATTCTTGTCTAGACTGTTCTGGTTCCCTTCAGTTTCCATGTGAAGGTTAGCATCAGCTTGTAAATTCTGTATAATGTGCCGTTGGACAATGTTAAGTCACAGAGTCCAAATACAGAGGAAATGTTCTTTAATGGAATTGTGACTTCAGAGCTGATAAAAATTAAATTTCAAAACCCATAAAAACTAAACATAAGAATATAATCAACATAGTACAACATTTGGGTTATTTACTAATAAATATTTTTCTAAATTTAAGATAAATTTATGGGGGCTGGAGAGATGGCTCAGTAGAATAAGCGCTTCCCCGGCAAGCGCAAGGGTCTGAGTTCAATCCCCAGGTCTGCCCCCCAAAAAAAGATAAATTTATGGGAATTTTAAAAAAAATTTTACTGAGAAACAATAGCAATGAGACAGTTTCAAAACCGATTAGTAGGACAGTTTCATTAATTAATACATTGCATATTGTCGTCTTAGTGGTTGGGAAGAATTCTTTGATACCAAGTTATTTCACTATGTTTTTAGTTTAAGGAATAAGCATTAAAAAAAACAAACAAACAAAAAAAAAACCAAAACAAGAATAAAGGTGATGGGATGGGATCCAGATGTGGTGCTTGTTTGTAATCCCAGCACTTGGGAGGCAGAAGGATCACTGTGAAATCATAGTCTGGGCTACCTAGTGAATTCGTCAGCCTGCAGTACAAAATGGAAACCTGTGTCAGAAAACACAAAAAAGAAAAATGTAATAAACTGAGTGCATGAAAACAGTATATAGATTCACTGACAAATGTTATAACTACCTTTTTGTTTAATTTACAGTTATATAACTTCTTACAGTATTGATATTTATGATGTTCACTTTCTGTAACATATTGTTATATTCTCAGTGGATTACCATTTATTCCATATCTGGATAACTTGCCAAACTTCAATAGATCAGTTGATGGACCAGTCAGGCTGCCAATTGTGGATAAGTACAAGGTACTAAAAAAATGTTAAGTTGGATTTTATGAGAGGTAAAATAGATTTTTGTGGAGTTCTTTTCCTATTTAGAAATTATTAACAATATAGCATACCTTCTAATGGTTGTATATTACTTTGTGGTATGGATAGACCATAATTTATTTAGGAAGGTTTAGTTTTTTCAGCTGTTTCCCATGAGCTTGTGATTATTTCTTATGTGATAAACTCATACCAGTGAAACTGTTGGGCTCAGTATTTTCACATTAAAGTTAATGAATACTGGTAAATAGCCTTGTAAAAACTACCATGCTGGCCAGACATGGTGACACATGCCTGTAATCCCAGCTGCTTGGAAGCCAAGGTAGAAGAAAGGTTGTCTAGGCTGGTCTAGATAGTTTAGCAAGATACACAGTTGTTTTTTTCCTCGGTACTGGGAATTGAACTCAGGACCTTGTACTTTCCAGGCAGGGGCTTATTCTGCTAAGCTATCTCCCCGGCCCAAAATACTGTCTTAAAAGGTGTGAATGTAGCTTTAGTGCTTCATGGGTTCAGTCACAATTCAATGGAGAAGGGAGCATTGTGCTAATTTGTAATATTACCAGCAGCCTAGGAGTGCTAATTTCATCATAGATACACAGCTCCTGGGGATTCGACTCATGGGTGGGTGGGTTGGGGTCTGTGTGTGTGTGGCTGGCTCAGCCCACCCTGGGGATGGGGCTGGCAGGGGATCGAACAGTGGTCCCTGTACTTGCCTAAGCAGGCACTTTAGTCCACTGAGCTATCTCACTGGCCCCTAGACTCATGGTCTTGTGCATGTTACACAAGTACCTTGCCTCTGAGCATGTGCTTCTAGTCCCTTTTAGATGTCAGCTTTAAAAAATTTGACTTTTTCACTAGATTTTCAACGTGGTCTGTAAAGTTTTACAATGTCAATTTTTATAATTGGTTGGGGCGGGTACTGGGAATTGAACTCAGGGTCTCCTGCTTGCCAAGCAGGCACTGTGCTGCTGAAGCTACATCTCTGGCTCTTTACAATGTGGGTGGTTTTTTGTTGTTGTTGTTTTTATTTTAATGAGAAAAAAGATAAAATAGCACTGAAAAACTTTCAAAACAGTTTCAATGTTTTGATCTCCTGAAATTACTTTGGTCTTTCATTATTAGCTCCATGTGAAGTCTAGAACAAATGTTTTTTTCCCCAGGTTTATATGTGGGGAAACAGATTTAGAGCTCAGGAGAACATGAATTTGTACTAACAATTCAGATTCTCCAACCTAAAATTTATTTTTTATACCAGAAATTGAACTCAGAACCTCATACTTGCCAGGCATGTGCTATGCCGCTGAGTTATATTCCTGGCATTGAGGCACCCTTAATATATTAGAGTGTTTATTATCTCCCCTGTGCATAAGTTTAATCTTAGTATTGAAGGAAATGATAGTCCTTTATTATAAGTAGGGTAAAGTTTTTCTTTGGAACTGTTCACGAGTGAAAAACAGTAAAAGTCTGCAACTTAATTTTTGTATTTTAAATTTGAACAGGATATGGGCACTGTGGTCCTGGGAAAGCTGGAATCAGGATCTATTTGTAAAGGCCAGCAGCTTGTGATGATGCCAAACAAGGTAAAAATTAGTAATGCTCTTTCTTATGTATAGTTTCTCTTGACTATATTAAGAAACTAATTTTTTCTCCCTTAAATGAACTACTACTACTCAAAAATTTAAGAATTTCCATTAAAACAAATTATTTTCTAAAGTAATGATTTCAGGCTGGGGATATAGTTCAGGTGGCACAAGTGACTATCTGGTAAGCACAAGGTCCTGAGTTCAATTTTCGGTAAAAAGTAATGGTTTGTTTTATTTTATTTTATTTATTATTTTTTTTTT